CTGATTGATGGGGTACGCAAAACAGCTGTCATCAGCAGAGAATTGGTTAGGCTCAAAGTTGATATCGCTGCTTTACAGGAAACGCGCATAGCTGGTTGCGAAGCCTAACGGAGAAGGAATACACATTTTTCTGGCAGGGTAGAGATGAAGATGAGCCTAGAGTACATGGAGTTGGTTTTGCTTTCAGCAACAAGCTAGTACAGATTGTGGAGCCGGGCTCAACCAAGTCTGAGCGCATCATGCACATAGATAGATAGATAGATAGATAGATAGATAGATAGATAATAATCTTTAGACAGGGTGCGTTCTCACAGAAGTGGTTTTCAGAACGGCCCTGTAACTACCTACCCAACCCACCCCAGGGAGGACATCCATCACACAGTAATCTCGTGCGTGGGAAATTAACGTCTCCTACCCCAACCCTGCAGGAGACGGGACCTCCATTTATTCGTCCCTATCCGAGAAGACTAGAATATTTAACCATTTCTTGATGTTAAAGAAAGGAAGCATATTCTTCTCAGTTAATTTTAAGACCCTGAGTCCGGCCGGTATTGAACTCTCGACCTCCCGCACAGCAGTCCGGCGCTCTCCCAATTGAGCTAACCAGGCGGCGGTCAAACGTACTAGCGTACTAAACAGTTGAGCAACAAGCCGTGATGAGTTGTCCGTACAGAGCACTATGGGACTATGGTACTAACGTACCAGCGTACTAAACAGATGAGCAACAAGCCGTGATGAGTTGTCCATACCGAGTACTAACGTACTAACGTACTAAACAAACGAAGAACAAGCCGTGATGAGATGTCCGTATCGAGTACGAACGTAGAAACATACTAAACAGATGAACAACAAGCCGTGTTGAGTTGTACTGACGTATACGTACTAACGTACTAAACAAATGAAGATCAAGCCGTCCGTACCGAGTACTGAAACAGATGAACAACACTGAAGCCGAACCGAGTACTAAGGTACTAACGTACTAACGCACTAAACAAATGAAGAACAAGCCGTGATAAGTTGTCCGTACCGAGTACTAAGGTACTAACGTACTAAACAGATGAGCAACAAGCCCTGATGTGATGTTCGTACCGAGTACTAAGGTATTAACGTACTAACGCACTAAACAAATCAATAAGAAGCCGTAAAGAAATGTCCGGACTGAGTACTGACTAAAGTACTAACGTACTAACGTACTAAACATATGAGCAACAAGCCGTGATGAGTTTTCCGTACCGAGTACCACAAAATACGGCAAATACGGCACAACTCGCAAAAATACTCGGCGATACTACACAACAAATAATAATAATTTAATTCCAAAACTTTGCAAGTACAATTTTAACGGTATTCTGTTTCTCAATGACGCAAACTGCCCTAAACGAAGTTTTTCCGTAATCTCAGGGACAGTTGAAACAGAAAATGTTCGAGGCTGACACCACACTATATTATGTCTCGTTGGATAAGAACGATTGGTATATTTAACATCTCGACTTTGTCACATTCTCTTAGGTAACATACTCAAGCTAGTTATCTAATAAACGGAAGACTTGGTCGAAATGGCTTTTTTTTAGCTGACCTCGAAAAACCGAATCGTTACACAACTTTAGAGTCATCCAGAAAAGACCTTTGAGGTTCTGAATTAAATAAAAGTACCAGAAATTTGACATTTTTATGAAACATTAATTTGAGAGGAAGATAGTGCCGGGAATTTTAACGTGGTCCGAGGCTGATTGTTTTTCCCAAAAAGATACGTTTTCAAACAGAAAGAGGTACTGGTTGACGGGCAATAACTATTCCAAAACAGTAGGAGTGGACGTACATTTCTTTGAGAAAATTGATATACATGGGGGTGCAGTGTCACTGAGAAGATGATAGGATCTCATTCGTATTCCGTGTAGGCCTCCTCTGAAGCCTGAAGTCGCCGTAACTTTGGGCGATTTAAGGCGACTTAAGAAAATTGGTAGAAAAAACATTGCGACTTTAGGCTATTTAAGGCGACTTAAAGCGATTTTACTGAAGTGATAAAACTGAAGCGATAAAATCAAAGTTAGCAACAGTCTCTCCATAAAATTTAAAAATATTTACAGAATCCCTTGCAATAAACACAATATGATCAGAGTGGGGTGAATGGGGTCAATTGGGAAGGGGGGAACCCTTATAACATTTCGTAACCAGTAGCGACTTAAGGCAACTTAAGGTCCCAGAAAAAATTAGAAGTTGTAAAACGATATAATTTCGCCGAATTGTCCAGGACCCGAAACTTTTCAAATTCTGAAGAATTAGCTTCACTTGTACCTAATAGCTACCTCAACATAGCTACCTCAACCGCCTCCCGGTTACCTCAATTGGTATAGCGCCAGACTGTTGTGCGGGAGGTCGAGAGTTCAAATCCGGCCGGACCAACACTCTTTAAATAACTGAGTAGAAAGTGCTGCCTTTGTAATAATATCTGCAAACGGTTAGACTTTCTAGTCTTCTCGGATAGGGACGATAAATGGAGGTCCCGTCTCACAAGCTCTTATATGTGATTTAAATATGTGGGACGTTAAAAAACCCACACACTCCTCGAAAAGAGTAGGTGTTGTGGTCTATCTTTGTGCAGTGTCTATCCAGGGTCTATCCAGGGTGAATTGGGGGGAGTGGTGGTGCCTCGCATGGACCTTGTGTTCCGTTCGCACTAACCCTTCCGGGTCTAGTCACACCCGGTGAAGTCGTTAAAACATAAAACAAAAATAAAACACATTCTCTTCGGTCAGTTCCCTGGGTTCCATAATCAATAAGAAGAAAACTTCAACAAGACGCTTTTTTCCAAGGAAACTTTTCCCGTGGCATTCCTCGTGTTAACTATATTGTAATTACCACACCGAAGATAACGCGTTTCATGCGATACATTTTTGCTTTGAAAGGTTTAACAGATTACAGCGTTTTTGCTCAGCATTCGTTAAAGGTTGCGCTTTTCCTTGGGAAAACGCGTATCACAGTGATGTTTCTTCTTTTTTTGAGTTTGAGCGAGCAACTGATAGGAATGAGTTGAATCCTGGTCCAGCACTAGTGTCTGTTGTTTTATGAATTGTACTGTTCGTGGATGTTCCTCTCTTAACTCTTTGGGCGGCTAACGTGAATACGCTCGAGAGGTAGTTAGTACGCCAGTACGTAGGTATTCATCCTCGCTCGAGAGGTTTAGTTAGTACGCTAGTACTCCGGTACGCTAGTGACATGCAGTCCTTTAATCGAACGCTAGTACGTTGGTACGCAAGTCATTCATGCTCGTTCGAGAGGTGTAGTTAGTACGTAGGTATTCATGCCCGCTCGAGAGGTGTAGTTAGTACGCTAGTACTTTGGTACGCTAGCGACATGCAGTCCTTTAATCGAACGCTAGTACGTTGGTACGCAAGTCATTCATGCCCACTCGAGAGGTGTAGTTAGTACGCTAGTACTCTGCTACGGTAGTGATATGCAGTCCTTTAATCGAACGCTAGTACGTTGGTACGCAAGTCACTCATGCCCGCTCGAGAGGTGTAGTTAGTACGCTAGTACTCTGCTACGCTAGTGATATGCAGTCCTTTAATCGAACGCTAGTACATAAGGATTTATGGTACGCTAGTGTCATGAAGTTCTTTAATCCATTGCTAATACGAAGGTACGCATTCATGCTCGCATTCATTGCGAGCATTCATGCTCGTTTGAGAGGTGTAGTTAGTACGCTAGTACTGGTACGCTAGTGACATGCAGTCCTTTAATCGAAAGCTTGGTACGCTAGTGACATACAGTCCTTTAATCAAAAGCTAGTATGTAGGTGCGCAAGAGAGGTGCAGTTGGTACGCTAGTACTGATAAATAAACAAAATACTAAAGGAGAGTGTGCTAAATAGGTACTGTTAGTACTGTAGTACTTATGAAGGTTGTTAGTACGGTAGTACTGATGAATAAGCAAAAATCTATAGAAGAGCGTTCCTATAATGGGCAGCATATGTGGGATAACTTAAAAATTCTGAGTCTGTATGAGGAATCAAACCTCGAATCTTCAGATTGTGCACTCTGATGCTCTACCACTGAGCCACAGAGACTCTCTAGTATAGTAAGCCGGACCCAACTGATGCTCTACCACTGAGCCACAGAGACTCTCTAGTATAGTAAGCCGGACCCAACTGATGCTCTACCACTGAGCCACAGACTAAGCCGAACCCAATTGACAAAGTTTATTGTTGTTGACTGACCAATGATGTTTTGATGAATATATATGCTGTTGTTTACTGGACGTTCAATTCAAGCTATTTTTCCTTTCTTACATTCATACATTTGGGAGTTGCAATTTTACATTCTTCATTAATTAATGGCTCAGTTAGAAGATTTATCAAAACAAGAGCTTTGTAAAGGAATGTTGGTATAGTATTTAGTGTGTTTTAATTTATAGTGAACAAAAAAGCTTTTCAAACAGTCTTATGGTTTTCATCATGATAAATTTGAAAATTAATTTAAATTTAATATATATTTTTTTAACAGCCCTGTCATCTCCCTTGGCCCTACGTTTGTCAGTCCCTCAGAAGTTCCTTGCTTTTCTCCAGGAGTTTGATAATGATGATGTCAGGATACTTGGAACACAAGTGTTGGCTTCACTTAAGATTTATGATGGTAAATGGATAATAAGTGCAGAGTTTTTAGATATTAGTTTACTATTTAAGTCATAAAAATGTTAGAAAGTTCTTGGTGTAAGTTAATGTGATATGTATATGAGCACGATCCTTCGCAGTAAAGCACTATTTGAGCAATAGTGAAAATCAGACCTGAAAAAAAWTTCAGGCCTGTACGGGATTCGAACCACTGACCTCTGCGATACTAGTGCAGCGCTCTACCAATTGAGCTAACAAGCCAACTGGGAGCAGGCCATCAAATTAATTCGACATAAACCCGTAGATGATAAATCAAACAACAACAAACATAATCCCGTACAGGCCTGAAATTTTTTTTTTTTTCAGGTCTGATTTTCACTATTGCTCAAATAGTGCTTTACTGCGAAGGATCGTGCTCATATACGTCTCATAACCGCAGTTCACTCATATGTTTCATATGTTTGTTCTTAGTGTGATATCTTGTAATTTTCACTTTTAAAACATTCACGAGCTAGTATAGTACATTTCGATTTATCAGGATAACTCATGCTCATTAAGAGTACCAATCAATCCCCCTTCATGGTAATTTTCTTTTTGAACTAGATCCTCGAGGAGCGTTCACTCGGGTTTCGTATCGAGCGTATTACTTGAGCCTAGAGTTCGGGGACCGGCCCTTTCCGAAATCGCTCTACATCATTTAGTGTGGGCATACCACGAACGGCGCGTTAGTTTGCATGTGAGATGAGCGTAAGACAGGAATCTTTGTAAAGTAGTCTTCATCAAAGACTATTTAACTTATGTTGTTTACGACGAGCGAGCACATAACAACCCAAGTTGTCGCATTCTCGTCCCCAGTTTCCGCGGTTTAAGCAAGGAACGCCTGGGACCATGACCCCACTTTTGGCGACGAAGAACGGCTTGCACTTTAAGACTCGGGCTTTCCAACGGAGGCCCGAGTAACAAGGATAATTGTATAACATAAAGTTTCTTATTTTTATTAACAGTGCAGTTTACTGGTACTGACCATAAGGAGGGACACCTCCAACTTTGTCATGTAATTATAGCAATCATAATGCTATTTGTTTTCTTGAGATAGAAAATTTAGGCGTATTATCATCTGTTTTTACTTTTTTACTCAATAATGATTCTTAGTTATTTTTATGTGTCCTTTTTATTCATGCACGAGGATGCAACCACTGAATTACTTACTTGTGACCCACCACAACAAATTGAATTACATAAAGAGGATAGATTTAGTGTTCAGGGGCCTGTTTTTTTTTTTGTTTTTGTTTTTTTTTTAAGTCCTGGTAATGTAACAGGCCTTAAATCATACAGTGTATTGTAAAATCAAAATGTAAAGAATAGAAAACCATGTTCTGGCTCCCTAACAAGTCAATTTTTTTCAGCTGATAGCTTTCTGTCTAAATTTCGAAATGTTTGAAATACCTGTCTTGAATGGAAACAGAACATTTTTATGGGCCCTTTAAGTAAGCAAGACATCAAACGAGCCCCTGGTAATTTGAATTTGTACCTCTCAGTTGTCAGTGCTGTAATCAATTTGCAAAGGTAAGACTACACAATACCACACGGCCTAATTTTGCAAGCTTGATAAATAGCTGGTACTCTAATACATGCTTTCCTCAGCGGTATTTTAAGAACATCATTCAAAGCAGCCATTCAAGGCCACTCACTGCAGATGACTTTAAGAATCAGTGTCTGCATGGGTCTATTTTCTAGGCTTGATGGCAATTTGAATCTCTAAGATGGTCTCTTAAAGAAATTTTAAACCTTTCAAGATTGTAGAGTACAGGTGAATCAGGACCTTCATGTTTTCTAAAGGTGAACTAATCTTTCAGCGCCCAAATGCCTTCTGAGGGTGTTTGTATATTGCTTTATGTATGATAAAATTTGAACCAACAAGTTAATAGATTTTACCAACAAGATAGTGAATTTGTGTTGATCAATATTATTGTTTCTAGATGCGGAAATTCAGGAGCTGAATGAACTTGTGGCATCTTGTGATAACAGGATTTTGATCGGTTTAGCTAGGTTACCTGGACTCGATACCAGGCTTCTTGGTGTGCACCGAACAGAATTGAAGGTAAGATCCCACGAGAAATGACCAAGATTATCATTCAAGCAACTTGAATTTTTGTCTAGTGTGTCCGATAAACTTCGTTTCTTTGAACTTAAGTTACTTGAACTTTGTATTTTTTTCCTCTTAGCAGACTGATCCAATAGAGTCTTTATGTAACTCTTATTGTAATGGTTTTCCTATTCATGATTCCATTTTCACTCAAATTAGTGTTTTATCCTGTAGGTTGTCTACTAAATACTCGACGACGAGTTTTTAGTATCATGAATCGTTAATTTGATTGGTTAATTGGTGGGATGAAATAGCTTGTAACTCTGCTAGGGCGTGACTTTTTTCTTCCGTGCAGGCTGATGGGCCATCTGAGTCAATCGAGAGTGACTTAAAAGCCTTACTCCTTAAGTTACCTCTTACTGGCCTGGATCCTTGTACAACTTGGTTTACCCGAAATGCAATGCTGACTGGCAAATCAGCGAGCCAACATCGCAGGGTAAGACAATTACAGTACAGTAAAACTTTTCCTTGTGGACACCTTTTCAATACGGACAGTTTCCAATGTCCAATGTTTCCAAAATGTAAATTAAGTTCTTAAAAAGAAAAAAAATTCTATAATACTGACCCTGTCTAATACGGACAATAGACACTCGCCGCCCCAGAGATAATTTTTCAGCCTGAAAGAGAGCCCCTGAGAGCGAATGGATGTAGACTTTGTCTTATGGACCTCTGTCTTACTTTTGCGATCAAGTGGTAGTCTGGTCTGTGTTGAGTAACTCCTCAATTGACGTTGTAGTTCTCCTTCTACTTATTCACTAGTGTGAAATATCCGATGATTGATTTTCATGTTTTGACAATATAGATATCTACCAACGCTTACGACATTTTTTTTCGATATTTAATCCATGTTTTGTTTATTATTATCTTATCGGTGCAGCATTGCGTATTAGTTCGTCAAAATAATTTGCGAGACAGTGCCTCGATGCTGAATCTTGATAGTTTCTTCCGTGTTTCTACATACTTAAATTCTACATACTTCTATGTTTCTACATACTTAAAACCTGTCCGTGGAATCCTAAAAGTAACTTCATCGTGTTTATCTCTGTTCATGGACACCTCTCTAATACAGACTCGACTCTGCCACGTTGTTGTCTGTATTCCAGGTGATCGACTGTAAAAAAAAATTAATGCAAAGCATTTTTTTACTAACAAAGTCGTCGTTGATATGCAACTAAGGCTACTCACTATGGATAAGGATATTAACGCTACTTTAAAAGAAATATCCTGCTGAATAACAGGAGGGTCCGTGTAATGTGCGTGAGTCTGTTTGGTCACTTACTGCGGGATTTTTCTCTTTTTAGCCAGTCTTTTGGAGTTTCAGTGGAGAAAGTCTCTCATTTGCTCACAGTCTGAGTTCCATGCCAGCAGAACAGGTGGAACTGTACTACCTCAAAGCTCTAAACAGGCACTCTATGGTAACTATGGCAACTGGCACGGATCTTATAATTTTCTTAGATAGATACTAGACGTTCTAACAATGTTTTCGTTCTAAATATTTCAGTTACAACACCGAAATTTTGGATACGTTGGATATTAGTAATAATGTTACCAGACAACGTTTTCGTACTAACAGTTACAAGGCACTTGTACGTAAAACCCGAAAGATAGCTAGAAAATGATCAATCACAGCAAACGAAAAGTTATTTCAGTCCTAGAATTTATAGCATCATGGGTACACAAAACTGTCAATTAGTACAAGTACATCATTCTTCACTGTCAGCAAAAAATCCTTGCACTGACTAGAAAGATCACACTACTTGAACACAAATTAATGACGACTGTACTTGAACGAATCAGGGACGAATGATATTCTTTTGTCAGGTTCCCAGTCATCGATCTCTAATGGTGGAGAATGGGGTTTTGGATGTGATATTTCGTGAGATCAAAAATCGATTCCACAGCCTCAGAATCAAACGTGAAATTGGCCTCTTGCTTGGGAATCTGGCTTTAGAGGAAAGTGCCCATGAGAGTATGGTGGAACAAGGTAACCCCAGCAGGTGTATGTGTAGCAAGAAACTGCCAGTTTCAACAACAGCTGTAGTAATCCGTTTTCAAAACAAAGCATTTTCCCACGCGTGTCAGAATGAGTTCGCTCTTCTTTACTTTGTTTTAAGTTACTCAGTGTGCGTGTTGGGCTGAGTTCCTACAGATGCTTATCTTCGTTGTAGGACTGAAAATTTATTTAGCGTGAATATGGTGTTTTTCTTTCTCAGGGTTCTTACCACTTTTACGTTCTTGGCTGAATTCTGATGTGAGTACTCCTTTAAGATTCTTTTTTCGAAAATGATAGGTTGACCTATTAGTGACTCATTCTTGGTTAAATAGTACAGTGGTTAGCTGTTGGCACTGTTTTCGGATTGGATATCAAAATCGTATTTGACAGTGTAATCCTACAAGTCAATCCAGTACTGCAATCTTACCTTTTCAGTAGCCTTACTACTCAATTGTTTTGAAGGACTTGGCTTTGTTCAGTCATGCTGTCCGAACACTGGCCAATCTTGACAGAGACTTCTGCAAAGATGAGACGTACGAGGACGGAGTTTACTTACTACATCCCAAGGGACGGCACTCGTGAGTACTATACCCAAATTATTATTCTAGCTTCGTGTACATATGGGAGCCCCTTCGCACAAACATCCTTAGGAGTTACATTTTAATAAAAGTATTCCACGGGCACATAAAGCAATTACTGTCAAGCTGATCATGAAGCGCTGAATAAGAAGCAAAATCACCGGGATAATGATAAGTATCAGTAAAGCGTCGTGGTTATCGGGCGAATTCAAGAACTAATTCTAAATGTAAAAGTGTGAACTTTCTGTTAACTGTTGACACAACGACAAACCACTTACTAACCATAGTTCAAGGAAGGTTCGTTGATTCCTTTCTTCTTACTCTCTTCATCTAGTTCCAGTATCGATGCCGATGTGGTATTCGTTCACGGCCTCCGTGGTGGTCCTTTCATGACCTGGCGACAACAAGAAGAGAAAGATGTCAAGAATTCTGGTACGGACTGTTGGCCTAAGGTATGCGAGAATAAGAGCAAGATTATTCGTTCCAAATTGTTCCTCTCATTTGCTGTGGAGCCTTGCGATTTGAAATTCTTTCAGGTGACATTAATATCAAATAAATTATTACTTTCCAACCCTATAGTCCTGGTTGGTTGGAGATATTCCCAATGTACGGGTCCTTATGCTTGAATATGATACGTCACTGTCTCATTGGGTAGCTCAATGTCCCCAGAAACCTGAAACGTAAGTGGAACACGTAAAATCTTCTCTAAAGCTGTTGTGTAAGGTGGCTCACGGTTTTTCTTGTTAGCTGCAGAAATGAATTGCTCGTTTACTGCAAAATTTCTTATCCTTGGATCTCTTAGGCGCTATATTTTTATTAACATTTGCATGTAAACATGTAAGCAGATCGAAATTTTCACAAATCAGTTGCGCCATAAGGACAAGCAAGTAAAAAAAAACCTATATAGCGACTGCGTTACCAAAACTATTCTTGGACCCCCAAAGTATTCTTGATGAAAGTTACATAATTGGCTCTCTTACAGTCAGTCCTTGTTATATCGGAGTGAAGAGATAAGACGGAAGCTGCGCAAGGCAGGAGTCGGCAAGCGACCAGTTATATGGATCGTTCATTCAATGGGAGGTAAATCAATTTTTCCCATAACTTCCGTTTACAGAGAAAAACGAGCTAACTCAGTAAGGAATAGACGGACAAAAGAATGAACAGTGTGAGGAGTGAACATTGTCCCTGATGGACCTAAAGCTATACTTACATCTATATTTGGTTTTTCCTTGTCCTCGTAGGATTACTCGTGAAGCAACTTTTGTTGGATGCAGAGAAAAACGACGAATTTCGGTGGGGTGAAAGTTATTCCTTAACACCTTTCTTCCCTTAGCATAATGCACGTAAATAAAATAGTTGTTTTGTGCTTTTTCTTCATTTATAGGTGCATGTGCGACAACACAAAGGGAATCGTGTTTTACAGCACTCCTCACCTAGGTTCTGCTTTGGCATCATACTCAACTCAGGCCAGTCATCTTCTCCTTCCCTCAGTTGAAGTAAAAGAGCTATGCCAGAGTAAGTGGCAGTTTGCTTATTCTGAGTGGCTCAGCCCTGAAGGGTGTTTTAAATATGAGAGCCATCAAGGTGAATTTTCAACAGGTTTTGCTGTTGGGAACCACTTGTTTCTATATTTTTGTTTTCGTATTAGAATCACCCTTCTTGGCCACTCTTCATGAAAGTTTTCTCTCCTTGGTCCAACGACATCCAATCAAGTTACTAAGCTTTGGAGAGACCATGCCAGTGAAGTTGTCATGGATGTTCCAAACGATACTTGTTACTAACGACTCTGCAGGTAGGTAACCGGTCAATTTTCAAGTTTTGTATCCATACAGTCAAACCCCGACGACTCGAATCCTTCCAAACGTGACCCTCGCTACCCCTAACAAAGCCCTACGTTTATAGATTTCAGCCGTCCTCCGTACTTTTGCCCACGGAGAAACTATCTCGGAGCAATTTTCATTTCCTTTTGGGTCATTTTCTCATAACTTTACGCGGACCATGTTTGTCAGTACGCTAAGGCCATTGAACCGTTCCTAAAACAGCAGCTTGTACTTTGTTTTCTTCATGTTATTGTGTCTTGTTTTCTTTTTCTTTTTGTATTTGTATTTGTTTGTAATCATTGTTTTTGTATTTTTCCCTTTTTTTGCTGTTGTGTTGTGTAAAATTTACAACTGTCAGTTCATTTCACGTTCCTTTAGTTTGGATAAATTTAACTACCGTCGATCGAAAAGTTTGCAATTAATTCTCTGCTCTGTTTTAAAATTTAAACAAAATTTCAAGTATGAATAGAAATGCCTTTTCGCCTTATTCCCGTTCATTTGTGTTCAATCCTTGATAACTTGAAATTCCAACAACTTAAGCGTTTTCAATTTCTAGGAAGGGTAAGAGAGTTTGCTTTAAATACAAATTTAGCTAACTTTGCATAAAAGGGCTGTTTCAGTGATCAAAAACAAAAAGACGCGGAGCTTTTCGATTCAGCGTGAATGAAAGTGGGCACAACCTTAAATTTCACGGGTGCGGTACTTGTGACATCCATGAGTGTATCACGAAAATACCTGGTGTTTGAAAAAAAAAATTCGAGTTTTTTGTTTTTGTTTTTTTTTTTTACTCAACACTTTCGGAATTGCTCTTGTCATGTTGTTTCTTTTATAGATTTAGGTGTCGGTGAATTTTTACCACTTGATGTGGACCACGTCGATATCTGCAAACCCAGCAGCAAGATTGACGAAAGATACACGAAGACCGCCCAATTTATAAAGAGTCTGATTACAAAATAACTGTATTTTAGGACTCAATGAGCGTATTTCTAACAAATCGCTTTTGATCTTTAGCAAAGTGTTACTACGCATACTTCTTAAATATTGTCAATTGCGAGCCAAGAACTTAAGGATGTTGAAAGTAAAATTAAGATTAGCAAAGTGTGTCAATATTCGATGTCGTGTGTGTACGTTTGATGATTTGAAATATATGTGATTTTGTTCAAGCAGTACCTAGGCCTGATATTAAATTTGATATCACAGTAGTTGAATCATTTTGGGCAGAAATTGATGCTGGCAAAGGTAAAAAGAAGATTATAATAGGCTGTATCTACAAGCATAGTAATTTGAATGACGGAGCGAATGACGAAGGGCTAACGCTCGAAACGTCAGCTTTTATAACGTAAAAGCTTTAGGTAACGGTGGCCAATTTACCATTTCAACTTTGTCGATATATTCAAATTATTTTGTTACCCCCACCGACGCAGCCCCAAATAGTTTCTTTAGAAACTATCAGCCTTTATTCATTTGTATCTACAAGCATCCTACTTGTGATCTAGAACAGTTTCGCAACCAACTAAATGATATAATCCAATAATATTAATTAATATTAATTCCAATAGGCATGAAATTTACATCTTTGGAGATATGAATATAAATTTCCTGAAATTTAATGAACACGTCCAAACTGAAGAATTCTTAGATATGCTTTATGCCAACAACATCTTACCAATCATTACTGATTGGTAAGTAACCTACCAGGCTTAGTGATCATACAGCAACACTCATTGACCAAATGTATATATACAAATTGTTTTAAAAATCTTACTGCAGGAATCTTGACAGTTGATTTAACAGATCGTCTCCCCATTTTCTGCATAGTTAAAACCCAGCCCACACGGAACAATGATAATAAAATATATTCTAAATTTAAGAAAGACCTATACTTAGATGATATAAATCAGATTGCTTGGCATGAAATCCTTAATCCCCAAATTAATTTAAATGAGAAGCTAAGGGAGACAATTAATATCCTGAATGAAATTGTTGACAAACACGCACCTATCAGGCTGGCTAGCCAAAGCAAACAAAAGCAACTTAATAAGCCATGGCTCACTAAGGAAACAGAAAATGTACCGCAATGACTCCCCCCAAAAAAGGGAATATAAACATTATGCAGCTATTCTTTCACATCTTAAGAATAAAAGTAAGACAGACAAAGTACAATGATAATCTTAAACAAACTTGGAAACTTATCGGTACTCTTGTTAAAAGGAAAACTAGAGGTCAAACTTTCCCTACAAAAATTACTCATAATAAAAGGACTTATTCACAAGAAAAGGAATTATTCAAAAATTTCTTTGTCAACATTGGGCCAACTTTAGCACAGAAAATTAAACCTGATCATGCAGAGAAATACACAGAATGCAATACATAGAATCTACACCATCAAACAGCTTCTACCTTGCTCCAGTAACCCTAGCACAAGTGTTTACATTGTTTGCTGGGCTAAAAGAAAATAAATCATCACTCACTGTTCCTAATAAGCTTATCAAACTTGCAGCTGAACAACTCTGCACCATTCACTGAGATCTACAATGAGTCAATATCATCAGGGGAGTTTCCTGAAGTCTTTAAGATATCAAAAGTAACCCCAATATTTAAAAGCGGTAGTGTATCTGAGTTAGGCCAATAGAATAGAGAATAGACCAATATCAGTATCTGAGAATAGACCAATAGCAGTTATTTCTCCCTTCAGTAAAGCCTTCAANCTACTTTTTAACTATCAATTTGGCTTTCGAAAGGGATATTCCACGGAATATGCAATTCTCGAAACTGTAGAGAACTTGAAGTCAGCAATTGACAGTCAACAAATTACATGTGGTATATTCTTAGACTTTTCTAAGGCCTTTGACACAATTAACCATCATATTCTCTTAGGAAAATTATACAAATATGGGATCCGAGGAGTCCCCCATGCATGGTTTTCGAGCTATATAACTAATCGTAAGCAATATGTCAAAGTTGGTAATACAGAATCTAGCCTGAAAACTATTACATGCGGTGTACCCCAAGGCTCCACACTAGGTCCGTTGCTGTTTCTGTTGTATATTAACGATTTGCCTAGGTCTTCAGAGAAATTAACTTTTAGGATTTTTGCAGATGATACAAATATGTTTTATTCTTCAAAAGACCCTGAGCAGCTCCAATCAGTTATTGATGAAGAACTTAGAAAGGTCTTACAATACTGTGCAGCAAATATGCTGTCAATTAATTTCAAGAAGACTAATTATATGATTATTACTTCACTTAAAAAGAGAACAAATATCAGAATAACAGCTTGCAATATAGAACAAAAATCTCAGATAAAATATTTGGGGGTTTTTATTGATGGGATGCTCAGCTCCAGCACATAAACAATAAAATAACAAGAAACATCGGAATTCTATTTAAGCTTAGACATTATTTACCTGTGAGCACACTCAAACAACTGTCATATATCCATATCTAACATATGTGCTGGGGAACTGCATACCAAACCAGGTTAAATAAAATCAAAATAAGTCAAAACAACGGTATCGCAGCATCTTCTTTGATAGCAAAAGAGAAAGTTCTACACCATATTTCACACTATTAGAAATCTTAAGATTAAAAATTGGCTCTCTTGTGCATAAAATTAAAAAAAAAGAATATACCTCCAGTCCTCTATGATCTAGCCCAACCGGCTTCAGCTGTCCATAATTACTCTACTAGGTATGCCACTAATCAAAACTTGTACAGACCATTCTCTAGAACCAATTATGGTCTAGCAAGATTTAGTGTGGTGACATCACAGATCTGGCAAACGATACCTATTAAAATAAAGTGTCTCCCTGCCAAAAGCTTTAAAAAAGAATATAAACTCTTCCTACTTGGCAGGTAGACATCTTGAACAACTTTAACCTATCATAGAGCTCTATTTTACTATTTTAACTATTTAGTATATGTGCGATCTCCTTAAGTGTACTTAACTTTCACCCATCCGTAACTGCTCTGTGGTAGTGGCCAACTCGAAAGCTTGGCTCCTTTGGCTACTACACACTCTTTCAACTGCTTTGTGTAAATTCATGTATAGTTAGAACTCTCTTCTTTTTTTTCTACTTTTTCTCGTTCTCGTTGTTGTATTTTTAGTAGAATAAGTGTGAATAAAAGAAAGAAAGAAAGAAAGAAAAGAATAACTTTTAGCAAAATTCGACAAATTCACCTTGATATTCATTCGATAATTCATGCAATATTCATTCGACAATTCAAGCAATATTCACTCGATAATACATGCAATATTCATTCGATAATTCAAGCAATATTTATTCGATAATGCACGTGACCTGTCATCTGTATTTGGGATAGAAGGCTTGGCTACTGGTTGTCGAAAATGGCGGAACAAATTGAATGGGAGTCTTTGGTGCTCAGCCTGCTCAATTCACTAGATAGATGTGAGATAGATTCTAAAGAACTAATATATCCTATCGCAGCCAATGTATACAATGGTGTTGAAGTGGCTCTTTCAGTTATTATTTTCATGGCCGATACTGTTAACAATGAACAGTAGCCTTTCGCGAATGCTTTTGCGAGATTCACCGATACTGGTGCATGGTGGCAACAACTTACTGAAATGGAAAGAAGGACAACCACTTGGGAAATGATGACACTTGGCACGTGATAATATCGAATTAGCTTGAATTATCGAATGAATATAGCGTGTATTATCGAATGAATATTGCATGAATTATCGAATGAATATCAAGGTGAATTTATCGAATTTTGCTACAAGTTTATCGAATGTATTGAGCAAAATCACATATTTTAAATCATCAAACGTACACACACGACATCGGCAACCATATTAGAGTGGCTTCTCCTTAGTGGGAGAAAAGACCTCATGTATTGTAGCGTGTTCTACTCTATTTTATATTTGTTTCCAGGGTTTGTCTTACCTAATCCACTGTTAGCATTTAGTCTGTCTCTTTAGATGAACCATTTCCAGTAAATACGTTTTAAAAGACTAGTTGTTTCATTTGCATTTTAACGATGTTTTTCGCACTTAATCTTTACCTTTACATAGCTAAAAACGGGAAGCTAAACAGGATCGTTTCAGGCGAGTAAAAACAACAACTGAAGATAGGTCAATAAAACATCATATTTGCTCGTTTCTTTGTATACTATGAACTGTGAAGGTTGTTCAGTTGCTAGATGCGTGAGCCAATTGTTTAGCTGGAGTTTCCATCTTTTAGAAGAAACCAAGGAAACAAGGAAATCCCCGACAATCGGAAGACCACCAATAGTTTGGAGTGCGGAAGAAATGCCTTTTCATGAATTTCAAAATTCCGGCTACAATTTTAAAATACCAATTTTCACCTCTGTTACAAGGCAAGTTGGTTTTATGAACTGAGTTGATAATGTATTTGGCCGCCATAAGTTGACGTTTCAAGTGTTAGCCCTTCGTCAGAGCGAAAGGCTATCCCTCGAAACGTCAGCTTTATAAATTACCTATGGTTGATAAAACCAAATTATCTTGTAAACCCCCACCTAAGCAGCACTACAGTTTGTTTAGAAGCTTACCCCCATTATTCAGCCCCTGTTAGTTACTCTGTGTCCTGTTAACTTTTCTCCAGGTGGTGAACAATACTAACTAAACAATTATTGTATTCTTTGATAAATCAAACAACAACAAACATATGAAACATATGTGTGAACTGCGGTTATGAGACGTATATGAGAACGATCCTTCGCAGTAAAGCACTATTTGAGCAATAGTGAAAATCAGACCTGAAAAAAATTTCAGGCCTGTACGGGATTCGAACCACTGACCTCTGCGATACTAGTGCAGCGCTCTACCAATTGAGCTAACAAGCCAACTGGGAGCAGGCCATCAAATTAATTCGATATAAACCCGTAGATGATAAATCAAACAACAACAAACATATGAAACATATGTGTGAACTGCGGTTATGAGACGTATATGAGAACGATCCTTCGCAGTAAAGCACTATTTGAGCAATAGTGAAAATCAGACCTGAAATTTTTTTCAGGTCTGATTTTCACTATTGCTCAAATAGTGCTTTACTGCGAAGGATCGTTCTCATATACATATTGTATTCTTTGTCAGTATTTTGTATTAAAAGACAGAAAAGCATAATGATCAGTGTTATTATTGATAACAAAGGAATTTAATCAGGTGAGCTCGGTATTATTCGTTTATTGCGTCAGGTGAGTATACATTACATCGAATAAAAACGAGTTCACCAATTTTTTTTTTTTTTCTTTTTGAGTCTTGTTAGAACAGCGCAATGGTTTTGATTTGGTTTTCTG